TGAGCTCCAAGAATAGTCGAAGAGGCAGAATTCTCAAAGGTTCGTAAGTGAAATTTGTTTTTATCTGAAGTATCTGTGTTGGGTGGCGATGATGACCTAGCAAATGTTTCGTAGGGTAGATGTATATTAAGTATTTATTGTTGCACTTTGTTTATTTTAGATTAATGGGTAAAATTGAGGGTAGGGGGGGGGGGCAGGGGAAGACAGAGACTGGGGTGGATGAATCATTTTAACAGTTGTCGTCCCCGGAGAGATACAGCATCTAGAAGATTGATAAACACAGCCCAAAAACATTTAGAGTAAAGGGTCGTGGGTGCCAACCCTCAGACATGATGGTACTTTCATTATATTATGCTAGTGTCTGTTCGTCCGTCTGGTTTTCTGCAGAATTTACCTTATCCGAAACACAAAACGCGGGTGTCTCGTTTAGACAATAATTGTTATATAACCCGGGTGTATATAAGCTCTGTCTCTCCATTGAGATTCATTCTGCCCATTTTCCTGAACAAGCAACATCTCCTCCAGCAAGCTCCACGCTGTTAACATTTCATTCAACCAGGAGGCCAGCAACAGGCAACACCTTCTCTAACGAAGCTCCTGCACATCTACCTCCTTCAACACGATACTCCCGAACGTCTTCTACTGAGCTGCTCCCCACCACACGGCATCTCCAGCACCAGACTGTCTATCATATAACTTATATATATTATATAAGAAAACCACATTAGAGTTTCCTTCCATCCTGAGTGCTAGACAACATTAATATCTCGATACCCCTACACACCTAAAAAGCAATTCTCATATCAATGAAACCAACCTACCTAATCTAACCTATAAGAAGTAGGAGGAGAGGAGAAGACAAGTGATCAAGTGAGGAGTATAGCCTCAGATAAACATCGAGGGAACCTGCGGACAGCCAATGGACGAATATTAACCGAAAGGAATAAACGGTTAGGTTAGGTGAGGATAAGTTGGTTTTGGTTAAGAGATGTACAGTATAGTTTGTAACCCGCCCCCCCCCCCCCTTAAATTATTTAGATTTATGAGTACTGTACGTCACTAGGCTCGCATAATGTTTAGGAAAACGGCACTTCTTAATATTTATTAAAATTTTATGTTCATTTGACATGTATCTTCATAATATATCTATAATGTTACAGATAAAGTGTAGCATACATGTCTAAATTTCACACACTGGCCGAAGCAATACATTAACGCCAGGCAGCTGCAGGCTAATGTGACCTGAGGGAGAGGTTACTCACACTTCGAACTCCTCTTCGCCACTGATCGGCTCGTTACCGTCGGGTAAATAACCACTTTCCGTTTGGTAGTAATGGATTAGGCTAATATGGTACTGTACTGTACTGCCTTTCAAGCAGTATATTAAAAGCTCAGTGTGAAGTTAACTTTGTCGCCTCATTATAGTGCGAAGAGTAACATATAGCCAAGCCCTGCTTTCATAACCCTTTTCTTTAGATGCAATATTAAGAAATCATTTTGTTTCATGTTGGCTGATAAAAAACTGTTAAGTCACTAATAACCATGACCTATGCCTTTCTAAATTACAGAACTACATAATTAACCTTAACTGTGAAGGTTACTAGTGTGCCCTGAAGAATGCAGTGATGGCTAGGGAAACACTGAGTAACACCGAGTCCGTTTATTGTGGATGAGAGAAATACAAGTGGTGACGCTGTGTGCCATGCGCGGCTCACACAGTCAGACTGTGGCAGCCTCGGGGCAATGTTGCCACATAACACGTGCAGTGTTGCCACGTGATAATATATATGAATGCTACTCGGCACAGTAGCTTATGTACAGGGTTGCTACTTGGCACAGTAGCTTATATACATAACCTACACAAATTTCCCGTTTTCTATGATAATCTACTTCGCAAAATTAGGTAATATTTCCCCAAAAGTCAATAATCTACTTCCCCAAAAAGTCGATAATCTACTTTCCCGAAAAGAAGAAAATCTACTTTTTGGGAAAGTAGATAAAGTTTCCCGGAAAGTAGATATTTAGCTTTTTCTATGATATAAAATTTCCGTTTTCTATAATAAAATTTTTGCTTTCTATGGCCTCTTAGGGGGTTTAACAAAATCACAAATTCAACTTCTCTTTGTATTACAGGTCCAAGGAATAGATTCCACCAAAATCATCACCTCATTACTATGGGGGTATATTGAAATACACTCAGTAGTTTTAATTACAGTACCGAATATATTAACAAACAATAAAACAAATATATCAGCATGTACAAAAATAAACAAATACAAATTAAATCTGATCAATTAAATGACTCAACCGAGTGACAAAATAATGAACATAAAAGTAAAGACTTATTTAGTCTAGAAACTACGATGAACAACGTGGTCTATCCACCACAAGTTTCTGCTAGTGTGTGGTCTAACAGAGCTGGTGCTACTGTAATATGTGGTCTACAGAGCTGGTGCTACTGTAGTATGTGATCTACAGAGCTGGTGCTACTATAGTATGTGGTCTACAGAGCTGGTGCTACTGTAATATGTGGTCTACAGAGCTGGTGCTACTGTAGTATGTTATCTACAGAGCTGGTGCTACTATAGTATGTGGTCTACCGAGCTGGTGCTACTAGAGTATGTGGTCTACAGAGCTGGTGATACAGTAGTATGTTATCTACAGAGCTGGTGCTACTATAGTATGTGGTCTACCGAGCTGGTGCTACTAGAGTATGTGGTCTACAGAGCTGGTGATACAGTAATATGTGGTACTACAGAGCTGGTGCTACTGTAGTATGTTATCTACAGAGCTACTGGAACTGGTGCTACTGTAGTATGTGGTCTACAGAGCTGGTGCTACTGTAGTATGTGGTCTACAGAGCTGGTGCTACTGTAGTATGTGGTCTACAGAGCTGGTGCTACTGTAGTATGTGGTCTAGAGAGCTGGTGCTACTGTCGTATGTGGTCTACAGAGCTGGTGCTACTGTAGTATGTGGTCTACAGAGCTGGTGCTACTGTAATAAGTGGTCTACAGAACTGGTACTACTGTAGTATGTAGTCTACAGAGCTGGTGCTACTGTAGTATGTGGTCTACAGAGCTGGTGCTACTGTAGTATGTGGTCTACAGAGCTGGTGCTACTGTAGTATGTGGTCTAGAGAGCTGGTGCTACTGTAGTATGTGGTCTACAGAGCTGGTGCTACTGTAGTATGTGGTCTACAGAGCTGGTGCTACTATAGTATGTGGTCTACAGAGCTGGTGCTACTATACTATGTGGTCTACAGAGCTGGTGCTACTGTAATATGTGGTCTACAGAGCTGGTGCTACTGTAGTATGTGGTCTACAGAGTTGGTGCTACTGTAGTATGTGGTCTACAGAGCTGGGGCTACTATAGTATGTGGTCTACAGAGCTGGTGCTACTGTAGTATGTGATCTAGAGCTGGTGCTACTGGTATGTATGTGGTCTACAGAGCTGGTGCTACTGTAGTATGTTATCTACAGAGCTGGTGCTACACTGTATTATGTGGTCTATGAGTTTAAAAGCATTGTAGTATGTTATCTACAGAGCTGGTGCTACTGTATTATGTGGTCTACAGAGCTGTACTGTATTATGTACACAGAGCTGGTGCTACTGTAGTATGTTATCTACAGAGCTGGTGCTACTGTATTATGTGGTCTACAGAGCTGGTGCTACTGTAGTATGTTATCTACAGAGCTGGTGCTACTGTATTATGTGGTCTACAGAGCTGGTGCTACTGTATTATGTGGTCTACAGAGCTGGTGCTACTGTAGTATGTTATCTACAGAGCTGGTGCTACTGTAGTATGTGATCTACAGACCTGGTGCTACTATAGTATGTGGTCTACAGAGCTGGTGCTACTGTAGTATGTGGTCTACAGAGCTGGTGCTACTGTAGTATGTGATCTACAGACCTGGTGCTACTATAGTATGTGGTCTACAGAGCTGGTGCTACTGTAATATGTGGTCTACAGAGCTGGTGCTACTGTAGTATGTGGTCTACAGAGCTGGTGCTACTGTAGTATGTGATCTACAGACCTGGTGCTACTATAGTATGTGGTCTACAGAGCTGGTGCTACTGTAATATGTGGTCTACAGAGCTGGTGCTACTGTAGTATGTGATCTACAGACCTGGTGCTACTATAGTATGTGGTCTACAGAGCTGGTGCTACTGTAATATGTGGTCTACAGAGCTGGTGTTACTGTAGTATGTGGTGGTGATGTCGCCATCTGTTATCTGCTGTTGGTGGTGGTGGTGGTGATGATGTAGCCTCCTGTCTTCTGGTGATGGCGGTGATGTAGCCATCTGTTATCTGGTGATGGAGCCTTCTGTCATCTGGTGGTAGTGATGATGTAGCCATCTGTTATCTGCTGTTGGTGGTGGTGGAGATGTAGCCTCCTGTCATCTGATGTTGGTGGTGGTAATGTAGCCTGAGTCATCTGGTGGTGGTGATGTAGCCTCCTGTCATCTGGTCGTGGTGGTGTTGTAGCCTCAGTCATCTGATGGTGGTGGTGGTGATGTAGCCTCATGTCATCTGATGCTGGTAGTGGTGGTGGTGATGTAGCCTCTGTCATCTGGTGGGGGTAATGTAGCCTGAGTCATCTGGTGGTAGTGGTGATGTAGCCTGTCATCTGGTGGTGGTGGTAATGTAGCCTCAGTCATCTGGTGGTGGTGGTGGTGATGTAGCCTCGTGTCATCTGGTGTTGGTGGTGGTAATGTAGCCTCAGTCATCTGGTGGTGGTGGTGGTGGTGATGTAACCTCCTGTGATCTGGTGGTGGTGGTGGTGGTGATGTAGCCTCCTGTGATCTGGTGTGGTGGTGATGTAGCCTTAGTCATCTGGTGGTGGTGGTGGTGGTGATGTAGCCTCCTGTGATCTGGTGGTGGTGGTGATGTAGCCTTCTGTCATCTGGTGGTAGTGGTGATGTAGCCTTAGACATCTGGTGGTGGTGGTGGTGATGTAGCCTCCTGTCATCTTGTGGTGGTGGTGATGTAGCCTCCTGTCATCTGGTGGTGGTGGTGATGTAGCCTTCTGTCATCTGTTGTTGGTTGTGATGTAGCCTCAGTCATTTGGTGGTGGTGGTGATGTAGCCTCTGTCATCAGTCTGTCCCTTGTTCTTCACTTCTGTAAGGTTGGATGATATAAATAGTTATACTGATTTAATGATAAATAGATAGGTTCACAGACTTACTAATTGGCAAAGCAATCAGATACTTATTTACAGTTGGGTCTTTTGCTTAGGCTAGGTCTATATTCAGTAATAGTAAGTCTATTATGTCTACAGGAGAAATAGTGAAAGTTTTCTGATAAATTTAACAAGCATTACATTGCACTTGGACTAACCGAGGTTGGCAGATCACTTCAACAATACAATATTTTGTGGTTAATACAAAAACAGCTTCATCTGTTTTGTATTTTTTACTTTTAGTTATGAATTGTTTTACACTATTGCTGGTCTTGGTGTAGTTTGGTAACTTGTTTCAGTCTTTTATAGCTGTGAAGAAGAAAGTGTTTTTTGCTTGACTACAAACACCAGGTACAATACAGTACTCTATACCACAAAATTATGTTCCCTCCATCTAGTGCCCTGCCGGTTCATACCACTAATCCTTACAAAATATTCTGGCCACAGTCTGTTGAATATCCTATGAGTGATTCAGACTCAGTTGCTTCACTCTATCTGTCAGACTTAACATTTTCAGTGATTGTTAAGACTCTGAGACCAATGTGATCTCTTGTTTTAAATAATTTTTAATTTGGCTTAGCTGAGACATATGGCATTTATATAAACAAATTGTTTATCCTAACATTAGTTTTACTTATTATATTATCTACAATTTATTCTCCAGATGAAGAAAGTCAAGAGTTAGTCCAAGGTATTTCACTCAGTTTACAGCTGAGATGGGTTCATTCCCACATTGTAGTAAACTCCCCAAAGTCAGACTCAGTCTGAATTACCGGTGCACATGCCAAGTTGTAATTGGCCGCATGGCGCAACACCAGTCTCTCACCAACTGCCAGATAATGTGATGGCATCCAGCCAGTGCTGGATTTAAGCACAAGGTAAATAAGCTACAGCTTAGGGCCTCACATTATGAGGGCCCTCTAAATATGTTTGAGATACAGAAAGTAAAAAGATTTGTTATGAATCAATTTGCCCTGGCTTAAATAACTTTCATTTGCAAGTCAGAAAATTCAGTCTAATAATGTATATAATTTTAAAGTATCATTTGGAAACCTTATTAACCAATTTTTCAATTCACCATTCAATGACTCATGTTAGCTGTGTGGCAGTTGATTGCTGCCTAGATGCAGTAAATTTTGTTGTTGTTGTGTAACAAATATATACTTTCTTCTCAGCCTCTACAAAACCCTGGGCAGTACTCAAATTATTCTTGAATCCTGACTCTACAGTACCAAAACATCTTCTGACACTAAACTAGGTGGGAAGCACATGCAAAGGCTACTTCAGCCCATAGGTGAGTTATACAGTAATTCAATTATGTACTGTAATGATGCTTTAACTAATGTCCATACTAATGTACTAATGACAGTGAAGAGGGTGAAACAAGAAGAAAGCTGATATTCTTCTTGAGGAAACTGAGGAACTGGAATGTGTGTTCATGTTCATTGGTTAGATCATTCCACAAACCAACAAGACCCTACAGGATCCACAGATTGGCCTTAGCTTTACACATTGCTCACTAACTTCTTGAAATAAATCCTAGAATGTTTTGATGAAATTGAATCAAAGCAAAAGGAGACCAGTCTGATGTAGACTACAAGTGTGTGAATAAAAGAGAGTGAGAAAAAACAGGTCAGTGATGGTGATGTAGCAAATGATGATGACAGGCTTTCTCCAAGAGACAAATTTCGAGTAAAATCCTTTATTCCCATGATGAATGCCCTTGAAATCAGTGTGAAAAAAACCCAGTCATATACAGTACAATAATATTGCAAAAATATATAAATTTTTAGATGATTTAGAAGAAGAGTTGTGTGACAGTGTAAAGTTCGTGATGAAAGACTATCCAGATGATATTGATGTTAACCTTGTTGAGGAAGTAAAGCACTTTAATGTTTATACCAAGAAAAATTATTTATGCCACCAGGACCACTATCAAGTCATCTTCCAAGATAAGATTTATTTGGCTTTCCCTAATGTAGAAGCAATATTGTAGCTACTTTTCAATCTAATAGTAACAAACTGCTCAGGAGAAAGGTAAATTCTGTAGCTGAAAAGGATTAAGAATGAACTATGGACATCAATGCTGTGAGAAAAGTTCTCTGCATTAAACATTATGTGAATAGAAAGTGAAAAATTTGTAGCTTATCATTGGACGACTTCATCCACGACTTTGCTCTTGGGAAACTACTAAAGAAAATATTTAAAATTTTATGTGATGTTCAAACAGAAGAGACAGTGCCAGTTGCATTACTGCTTCCATTTACTAAGGGTGAAACTGTTTAATTTCTTTATATAATAGTAGGAGTAACCGGAGAACAGATTATCTCAACTGTTACTCAACTCCAGTGTGACGAATCACTTCTGCTCCCAAATTTGTCACGAATACTTTAGTACACTTGACTAACTGTAGACTGGTCACCTTAGACTGGTCCTAGACTGGGTACTCTTAAGCTATGCTTTGCCAACTATGTAACAATATCTTCTTTGTAACAGTATAACACAGTAATGGGGAAAACATAATATCTCTACTTTTACCAACTGTGAATCTGTTGGGTGACTGTTACTTGTTGTATAACAACTACTTGTGAAGCTGTCATATATGTAACATCCCTGGGTTGTCACTACTTGTAAGAATCACTTGTGAAACATGTTACCTTATATTCTAGATGTACTAAAATATAGATCAAAGTTTATTGGGTCTTCAGTAACTTAATCCAATAATTTTTTTTTGTGTATTTATTATAAAAGGTTTCTATGTACACTTTCAAAAAGGATTATCACTGTAACTTAATCACTGTAGCTATGAATGTTAAATGAGGACGGAGGCTATCTTAAAGTAGCTCTTCTAAAATACGTCCAATTGATGTGAGAGTGGAGTGATCTTGAGTAGGGATCCTCGAGGGAGAACGGAAATACAGTGGTCCCTCGGTTAACAAGCACAATTCGTTCCAAAAGGTTGCTCGTTAACCGAAACCATTGTTTCAATGGGTTTTTGGGCAATTGGTTCCAGCTCACTGAAAATTGCCTAAAATCAACAAAAAAGGTAGTAAAGTACACTTACTTTGAGGTGTGTATGTAGAAGGCTCCTTGATGATGATGGGAATTAGAATGGAGGTGGAGGAGAAGGAAGAAGAGAAGGCACTGGGGTGGAAGAGAAGTCACCCCATGGCACCATTTCACCCATAAAATTTTAGTTCTCTTGGTGTAATTCAAGATTATTTTCTTAAAATCAACACTGCACTGCATTAGATATTGTCAATATGTAAAATAAATTTCAAATTGACCAATAATTTGCTTGCAAACACAGAAAAAAGCGTTAAGTTGAAGAGTCTCTCAAGCAAGATGTTACCTCCACTGAAAAGACACAGAGACTGACGCCTGTATGGTGTGTTGACAGGCTGTTTGGCGAGCAAAAAACTAGCTTCCTATACTTCAATTATGTTCAATAATTGTTAAAATAACTAAAAAATTTAATATAAAACCTTTAAAATTATTGAATAGTACAAACTTCTTGATATTTACTAAAATAGTAAGGAATTTAAGCACTAGAACTGATTACTGTATTGGCGGATTAATACTACAGCTGGTGGACCGCCAAATGCAAGCGAAAACATGTGGAGGGGCGCTCGTTAAAAACTCGTTAATCGAGGGATTGCTTGTTAACCGAAGTTAAGAATCTTATGGAAGGTAAATCCTTAACCGAAATCTCGTTAACCGAGGGATCACTGTATATTCGACATCCTCCCTCGAGGAGACGGAAGCACATCAACGATGGCTCTAAATAATGTCTTCCTCTCATCAGGGTTATCAAACTACTGCCCGCAATAGGTGGCCAGAGAGCAGGAAACTTATCCCTTAGCTCAGCACTAAGTGACACGACTTCCCGTGGACACACCTTATCACGTGCTCTGAACCTCATAGCTAGTGGAAAGTTACAGGGGGTGATATTTATACAAGTCTAATGTAATTAACCCAAATTCATATATACAGTATACTGTACTTTTGCCTATAGGACAAGGGTTGATCTGTGCAATGTTTTATGTTAAAAGTCTTCAATTTCATATTTGCCAGTTAGGAAATCATAAAGTATTTTATAATGCAAATAAGGCTTTTTCTAAGATGTATGTGTTATTTAGTTATAAGTTGTTCATTGCATCTTTGCCTATGTATACTGTACAGTATATGTAAATACATAGTTATATAAAAAAAATTATTGACCTTTATGTTAGAATGTAATACACACTTTCTCACTATTAAATACTTTATTATTTTTATGGTATGGAGCCTCTAAATCTTGACAGAGCTTAGGTCTTCAGCATGTCTAAATACAGCCCTCCATCTAGCACTGGATGTAGTGATTATATAGTTACTACAATACAGTACAGTAAATTTAAGTTTAGTGTAATTAAGTTTGGTGTAATACTGTACAGTTCTGTAAATATTTCTACTTTAATGTTTAGCATGTCAGACTAACCAAAGATTAACCAGCAATCATATAGGAAAGTAAGTGTCCTGGAGTTTTCAGTTGTTATTATACCTTTAAAGGGTAATATCAAATGAAGAAATTTTTTTAAAAGGTACTGGATACAGGGAAGTGTACAGATGAGGTGTGTGTGTGAGTGTGTGTGTGTGTGTGTGTAAGATAGTTGTAAATATGGAGGAAAAAGTAGAGATGTCTAATGTTAAAGAAGAGGTACTGCATGAACCAACCTTCTGGAAAACATGTAACAACACACAAGTGGACATACTGGACGTGGCATGCTATATGTTTTACCTTGATAAGAGTTGAGTTTATCTTAGGGCCACTGCAGGATGAGTGAAGGAACTGGGTGAACTTTTGACAGTTTCTCTAATGCATCTTTGTTGGTCGGTCCACTAAGTCTACTTCCCCGACCTCGCCTTCCTCTGTCACAATAAAAAGTGAGTTGGTGAAATACTGTACAGGCATCCCTCAAGATACAGAAGTTTGAGTAATGGAAATTCACATTAAAGAAACTAAACAAATATATGGAATAACCTTTGATACAGAGGAAAAACTTCCATTAGTTACCGGGACACTGCACAGTACAGTACTGGTATTGGTTTGCTCAGACCACATGAGAATCTCCACCCCAACTTATTACACCTAAAGAATCACCTTAATGCTATTTGTGGGGATGAGGTTAGGTTATGTTAGCATTTGGGTGGTTAATCTTTAGGTGAAATAAACTAGGGTGGAGATTCATCAGGTGGTCCCACTATTACAAGGTGCAGTAAACTTGGTGGGTGGGAGGGGTGCTTTCAGTCTTATACTGTGTTTTTCTTTTAATTTGTAAACATGTTAACAGTTTTATAAGGTAAGTTTAAAATTTAAAGACCAAAATATTTTGTGCACAGCAAAGTTAGCCACAGATCTGTAATGTGCAGTTAAGGGTCCAGGAATTTTGGGTGTATGTTTTAAGGCTGCAGTCCCATACTGTACCTAAAATTTCCCATTGAAATACATAGAATGATTTAACATGATTCAACACCACCCACACCTGCTGTGCTGATAGTGAAGTGAAAGAATTAACTGTAATAGCCCCCTGTCTTATAGGCAGAAGTATTATATAAATGGGTTAATTACATTTGACTTATATACTCTTATCACCCTCTGTAACTTTCCACTAGCTATGAGGTAGCATGTTCAGAGCACGTGTTAAGGTGTGACCACGGTAAGTCGTGTCACTTAGTGCTGAGCTAAGGCATTAAATAACTGGCTCTCTGGCCACCTCTTGCGGCAGTAGTTTGATGTCCTTGACGAGAGGAAGACGTTATTGAGAGCCATAAAATACCAATCAACCAACAAAACCAAACCAAACCAAACCTGACCTAACCTGACCTTACCTGACCTAACCTAACACTATATTTCTGATGAAACTTTGCATTTGACATAAAATAATCTATCACAGTGTTGGCACAGCTCTTTCCACCTGAAAACTCAAATCTCAGCTCCCGACACACCCACGTATTGTTCATTGGCTAAGACAAAAAACTCTTGCCCAATTATAAGTTCCCTATCGCTATAGGCAATAAGAAACTCCCCCCCTCCACATGCGCTGTAGATGCTTAAGAAGCTAACACGGAGGTAAGGAGCACTGTGCGATGGGTCAGACCTCTGTTAGACGTAAACAACAAATGGCGACACTTGTGACTGACCAAATCTAATAATATTGAAATAATATCTTGATTATCCTTAATTTCCAGCGGAAATATTAAAGAAGAAAAAGGTCTTAGAATTGTCAAAATATTACGAAAAGAATATTAATAACACCGAGAGAAAGACCGGTGGATGACTGAAATTTCAGCCCCAATTTTCACTGATTATATTAGAGAATACTGTATTATGTTGGGGAAAAATATTAAAATAAGTGAAATCATGTGCTTACCTAACTAAACCTGACCTGACCTATATCTTAACTCACTTATATCTAGAAAACTAAGCATTTGCACAAGAAAATGGATAGAAGGAAAAGCATAATTAGTGTACAAAACGGTGGTATAACTGCAGTTTCGGACAATATGGATCTCAAGCTGTGCAATGTGTTTTTTCCGATTGTTTAGACAATTTAAGATACTTCTTTTATAACGTATCCCTCGCAAATTAGTTAAATATACCGGAATCATCATAGAAGAAAAGCGTCTTAAAATTGTCTACACAATCGGAAAAACACAAAGCTGGTTTTATCAAAGCTCTTCAAAAGAAAATCATAATTACTTTACTGATGGTCACCAGCCATATATTTGCCTTTGCTGCTTTATTAACTTTGGAAAATTAATTACAAGAATTAAAATAAGCACATACCTGCATCAGCTGTTTCCCATACACAGGTAACGTGGCACTGTAGTTGTGTATAATTTATAACTGGCAAAGGTGACAGCTTCACTACCAGGTAAATTTGTTTGTTTACTAATATTCTGGTGTCTGAGCGTGCGCATTTTACCCTCTATTAATAAGGCTAAAAAGGTGATTTAATGGCCCAAAATTATGCTAGACTATTTATAATAATCTAGAATTTATTTAACGTAGTTATACTGCCATATATAAATACATATATACAGCCGTGTTATAAACGAACCCAGGAGGTACTGAAGAGTAGCACGCACACTCTCGGCTACAACATACCAGTTAAAATGTTATTTTAGGAATATGATGCTGAATTATATCTAACCTCAAAAAAATATTAACTTGGTCTTGACAATCGTTTCAGAATCATTAATAGAACAATCAGCTGTTACTGCACAAATCCTTGGTGTAATTCCAACAAATATTGTTTTATCTAAAACCCTCAGCCATGAGTGCTGTCTATATTGTCTACAATGGCCAGAATCTAGACAAGTGTGAATAACTGTAACAGGACTGCACTCTAGCGAAGTGACAAGTTTGCCAACTCAAATTATGTGAAAATGAATTTGCCAATCTTTTAACTGAACATGAGACTTCCCAAACACATCAGTTAAAGGGTTTATTATTGGTAATGTATACTGTATATCAAGTTTGAGGAGTATAGCTGTCTGTTCACAATTTATATGCTGCCTCTGGTGCCCCAAATACCCTTCTGATTAGAAAGCTGATCTTCAGTCATGTTTTTTACCTTTACTTTACTTTTATATCCTCTTCGCCACGGATCGGCTCGTTAGCCGCTTGGACGGTCGGTCACGTCTCGGATACGCACTAATTGGCAAGTACTGGGCATGCACTGGCTCCACATGTATCTGAACCTGCTCCAGTGCTGGTCAAGTCTGGTCTTGAAAGAGCTCACACTCGGTGCCGTTGTAGCGGACCAGAAGTACCGAAACGATAACTACGGAGGCGAGGTTGATGACGTCACAGCATACCAGGCAAAGACTATTTAGTCTTTGATACCAGGAGTTGCCGGAAGACAAAGTAGTGCGCTCCTAGGCGCCTAATTATCTACGAAAAGAAAAAATTGCACAAAAAATTATTATCATATCAGAACTCACTGATGAAAATAATGTAAGAATTGTTACGACCGTGTCGTATTTTTTCTATTTTTTTTATATATAACATGCTCCCATGTTCCATATTATTCCTGTAATGATGTGTTAAATTTACTATTATATATTCTAGTCACCTTACCCTGTGCTGTTAAGGTTTTAACTGTCATTATTTGTTCAAGCCCATCTTATTTCTTTATTTTGTATTGTAACCAGCATTCTTTGTTCTCTAACGACCATCTGCATCGTTAAACGACCCACCGGCGGGTCGCGTGGCGGGAGCCGACCTTATATATAGGACCCACCAACTGACTTGAGTCAGTTCAGTCCTCTTGTCATACAGTCCACATGCTTTGAGTGACACTCGTCACTTGTTACTTATTCTTAATTTATTTGTGTTGTTCCTGTCGCCACCAATGTGGTATATCTATGTGAGTACCTATTTATGTCTCTGTTTGTGTCCATCAGTATTTGCTTAGTTGTATTCAAGTAATACAGTGTTGTTTCACGTTAGTTAATTTCAGTGATAGTTTTTATATGTTTATGCAGTGTTAACGTAATCCAATGCTTTATTTTTATTCTCTTGATGTTTCGATGTTTTGTATCACTTGTGTCTTAAAAGTTTCGATGGTGAATCAATTTGTTGTGACAGCCTACGAGGCTCTTTATTGTGTTAATATTTAATTAATTAAATTCTTAAAGGTTTACTTTATTTATTTTTACTCTTTTAATTTACTAAACTTTTTTGTTTGGTTACGCCTAGAACCTGGATATTTAAGTAAATTAAGAGACGGCGTAACAGAGTATAAACAGCAATAGAAATACTCGTCTGCGGGTTAGCCCTATATATTAGCCAAATTATTAGTGTTACAATAAATGACTACTATTAACAAACCGGCACTTGATTATGACCTCCCAAACGAAATTACGTAAAATGTCCCTCCAACTAACTCGAGTAAAGCTGCCACCGTGAAGATACTGACCCGGAATAGCAATCATCTGAGTGGAAATTTTTTGATGTATGACAATTGAGAATCCTTATCTTGAGTCTCATAAATGTAAGTAAATTTCACAAGAAAAGTTATGTAAAGGTTACGGTCGAAAGTGATGACTCATTATCGTATCTTGTGACCGAGATAGTAGACAGGGTGAGGTTTGAGTTACCACAGTCAGAGGTAGAGAACGTACAGTACCGGTGATTTCTCCATTCCGTTAGTTAATATTCTGAATATACCAAAGGGATCACACGAAGATTAACCCCTCAGCTAATTAGTGTGGTTAACGTTCAGGTGAAATAAGGTAGAGGACTTATCTGCAGCTGGGGAGAGATCGCTAGAAACTGGTATGGTGGGGGGTTAAAATACACCCATAGATTTTTTCCAGTCAGAATCCAACAGGTAAAAAGTGAGTACAACAACATTATTGATATGGTTCAACCTTACGAGTACCGAAGGCTTCTTAACACTGAATGGGGGGAGCCAGACGAAGTGTTTACTTTTAACCAGCAACATTAAATGGATCACATGAAAATTTGCCCCCCCATGTTTATCCCCCCATGTTTGTTCCACTTGATTAAACTGTCTTAACTCCAATGTAACCCAAGCTAATCTAGCCTAACCTAACCCCCCCCCCCGCAGGTAGCGTTAGCTTGTTTAATCATCATTAGGTGAAATAAGCAAATGGGGTTCATTTTCATGTGATCCTGCAATAATTACTACAGAAGTTCTCGACGTTATGGACAAATACTGACTTCCCTCACCTGTATAGGATTCCTGGGAGTTGTAGGAGATGAAGAGCCACGAGACCTCAGGAAGACAACAGGAGGGCAACGAAGAGACGGGATTAGTGCAGGACAATGAGGAAGTGACGGTAGGAAATCCTCGGATACTGAAGTGGGAAGGCGAGGTTCCTCTGCCCCCCGTCCCTAACACCAATTTTGCCTCCTTCGTCCTCAATGTGTTGGCTCAGCATGGTGACAAGGTGGCGCTGGTGAGTGTGTTTATTATCGTGGTTCCTTATCTTAACTTTTTGGAGGCTCTTATGTGATAATTCATAACTGCTCGGATCACTGGTGGCGTGTTCTTATTTTTTGCGTTGAGAAGTATGATTTTGTGTGTGTGTGTGTGTGTAATAATAATAATGAACGGTTTATTGAAAAAGTTTGCAGCCCGAAGGCTGAAAATATACATTGGACATAAATGACTTATTACATACAGTAGGTGGTTTAACAAAAGCCTTCATTAGAGAAAGGTGAAGGAACATACAGTGAACATACAGATTAATGTTTACACTGTGTGTGTGTGTGTGTGTGTAAAAAGCGCATTGAGATTTTCAGTAAAAGTAGGTAAGTAGACTGGTATTTAGCCGAGAATGAATTTGGTTAACTCGAGCAAAAAGTGTTAAGAATGATGAGGAAACAGGCGTGAAGGCACTAAAAGGTTATGATAAAATGTTGCAAATAATGTATATAGTCTAAGTGATAAATGATAAAGAAACATTAAGTCTGGGCATAGTGAGGTGAGAGTTGATCACCAGCACCTTCTGCAGGTGGATGCGGCCACAGGTAAGTACCACACCTTCGGGGACGTGTGTCGGGTGGTGCCGCGGGTGAGCTCGGGTCTGTCGGCCGCCGGGGTGAGTCCTCAAGACGCTGTGCTTTTACTCACCTCCAACCACATTGACTATCCCTTGGCACTCCTGGCCACTGTCCTCACCGGCGCCGTCTGCGTCCCCGTCAGTCCTGCCCTTAAGCCAGGTGAGGTGAGAGAGGTTTAGTTTTCTTTATAACAAACTAACATAAACTAAGTAAAGACAAGCACTCCACACGTCAAACTGACATCAAAGATAACCTGTAAAGTTGTTAAAGTAGCCACTCTTATGCCCGTGATTTAATGAGTCGTCGCTTATTGGGAACAGAGCTGAACACCATACCCAGCCATGACGTCACCAAGGCTCAACCAATTATCCATTGTCTTCTTACTGACCAGTCAGATAGTAAGTAATGAACAGATGTTGTTGTCCGTATCTGAATACGATGATTGAATTTTTCCTTTAAACATAATATTTTTTAGATACAACTTTTGTTACAGTAGAAATTAGAGTAACATTCGGGTACGGCTCACCACTTGTTCTCAGACTATCTGGTTAACCCCCTGGGCACTCTTAGTTCATCCAGCTGTGAATGGGTGTCGAAGTTGAGGAGTAATAGAGGTTAAGTGCCACAATACCTCCTTGTGCACCAGAACTTAAAAAAAAGACAACAGAAATGAAACTTTACACCAGGGTTGTACACCTTTATGCGGATAATCCTCAGTTAAACTTGACCACTTCATAAACTTAATTAATGATTACCTCTTCTTCACCCACACACCAGAGGAGTTGGCCCATGTAGTGAGTGTAAGCGGATGTAGGTGGGTGGTGGTGCTCGAGGAAGCAGTGGGTGTGGTGGAGGCAGCCTTCAACCTCCTGCCTTCTGGGACACTTAAAAAGATGTGGGTGTTGGGTGACCTCCCAGGCACGCCCTCGCTCGCTGACCTTATGAGGACTGACCTCACCGTGACACCTATACAAGTAAGGCCAGCTGACCTATTGTTATCATGTTATTAATACTGTTGATTTTGTCTACCGATGTTAATATTTCTACCAGTACTGTGGTATCATCATCACCTGCCCCTTGTCTCTATCTCCCGCAGGAAGCGAACTTTGACCTCAACAGAGAGTTGCAGTGTTGCCCTTCTCTTCCGGCACCACAGGGCTGCCTAAGGGCGTCAAGCTCTCCCACACCAACCTCCTCACAGCTTTCATCCAGGGAAAGTGAGTAGAGTACTTCTGTACACCGTTTTTTCTTTTCTAAGTTACTTTATGTCTGGTTGGAGTGTCACTTTAATTTGCACGACGGGAGAAGCTACAGCATAAACAAAGAGTATCGATCACTTGCTCGTATTATGTAATCTTTTTTGTCTTAGGTACATACGTGAGATGAACTCAGATGGTCCCAACGTGCTGGAGTCCACCTTGTTGGTCCTCCCCGCCTACCACATATACGGCTACACCATCCTCATGAACTGCTTCTCCTCCGGCAACAAAGTCATCATGATGCCCAAGTTCACTCCTAAGTCGTATTTCGAAGCCATCCAGTCTTACAAGGTAGAGAGAGAGAGAGAGAGAGAGAGAGAGAGAGAGAGCATACATATGCCTGTGTTTCCAACCCCTGACCCACAGCAGTCACTTGGTTAGCCAAATATACGTAATGTAAAAAGTGACGTCCTGTTAACATCGTTAGCACCATGCTTAACGTCTCCCTTCCTTCAGTCTTACCATAAACTGCAGATTTAGGGCGCTTTCACTCTGAGGCCGGAATCGGTCAATTCTGATGCAAATTGTCCGGAGACACGCTACGCGACGCAAAGTTTTAGGCGTAATTATAACGACAGAAAATGCGTTTCCATTGCACCTTGAAATGCGGTGTTTAGTCAGTGTTAATATCGTAAGTTCTATCGTTCAGTCGGGACAGAAGGGCCTACTTCAACTGCTACAGCTTCCTTCCACAAAAATCTCGAAGTATCTCTATTTCAATGTTTGGGATGTGTTTTGTCATAAATGGCGCATCGGCGCTGGACTGCGACAATCGACTGCTAGTCCTCCATGTTGCCAGAGTACTACGGACCATCACAGGCGCCGCTCACAGGCCCACATTAGTGCAGAAGAAATTGGATAATGCGAAGTGCACCACATAGCAGCGCAAGATACTGTACTGACATAACCCGGTGTGGCAGTGTGAACGACTCGCCTAGAACGTGAAGTAATGCAAGGCATTAATCCTTGTCTTTTTTTTTTTTTTCAGATGAAACTGTTGGACAATTTGCGTCAGGATATGTCCGCTTCCGGCGTCAGTGTGAACGCGCCCTTAGCTAGAGACCTGACCAATAAAACATCAGCAGACTATATATAACTCCTCTTTTGGCCACTGATTAACGCTCAAGTCTATCCATTATGTTTCTCCACTTGTGTTGACGATGTAGCCAAAAGACATGATCATTAACTATCGTCCGTACTACAGTATATCTCTCCCTCACTGTCATAGTACCATCAAAGGCCCTGACCTGAAAATATCGCCAGTCCTCAACTAACGCCTCCCACTTCCTTGCAGGTCACGTTCTCGCCCGTGGTACCGCACATCGCTAAGTTCCTGACCAAGACGCCGCTCATGGAAAAGTATGACCTGTCTTCCCTCATGGCCTTCGCCTGCGGATCAGCGCCCCTCCAAACCTACACCCTTCTAGCCCTCATGCAGAAGGTAGGGCCTGTAGTTTATGGACTAATAATAGATAAACTTTAGAGTGTGAAGTAGTTAAATATCTTTATATTCAACTCCATGCTTACTAATTCTTACGTAAAAAGGTTTCCGAATTAAGGTACAACATTACCGTAATATTCCCGCACTCTCCAGTAATCACAAATACCCTGCATTAAGAACTGACACAGCAGTCTCGGCTTTTACCCCCCCCAGCCTCTCCCTCTCTAGCATGTAAAGTACAAATTTTAAGGACTGGCTCTCCCCATGAACTAACAGAGCGGGAAGGGCGCAGGTCAGGGATACGGGCTGACGGAGACCTGCGCTACCGTCGCCACCAATGGAGGAACTGTCGGTTTCCAGCTTGACTCTGTCGGGAAGTTGTTGCCTTATTTCGAGGCTAAGGTGAGCATGTGGCTTCCTGGCCGAATTTACCCTTTGTCATGTATATACGTATGTATATGTCTGGGTTTCTGGAAGCATTTTTAGTATGTGTTTGTCTGATATACATTTGGCTGTAACTGTGTCTCCCTATGTCTGTAGGCCAATGTTCGTGTTATTATGTCTTCCTAGATGTGTGCAACTTAATCCTTAATATCTGAGGCTTTGAATCTAAACCTAAACCACTAAACAGGGAAGCATCCATCTCCACATATCTTAACATACCTTACCTCCTAACACTCCAGGTGGTGGATGTGGAGACCGGGAAGCTCCTTGGAGAAAAGCAAGAGGGCGAGCTGTGTCTCCGGGGTCCCTCCGTCATGCTCGGCTACGCCAACGACCCGAAGTCGACGGCTGCAGCCATTGACGCGGACGGATGGTTCCACACGGGAGATATTGGCTACTTCGACGACCAAAATTTTATCTTCCTCACTGACCGCTTGAAGGACCTGATGAAAGTAAAGGGATTTCAGGTGAGCCGAGGTGAAAGTTGAATTTTAATGGGATAAGTGCTAATCAAGGGGTTCTGGATAAACTTAAGTGATAACCAAATATATATATATATATATATATATATAATTTCAATCCCTACAGTACTTTGTTATACGACATAGCATATTTTGACAGGTCTCCCCAGGCGAGTTAGAGAAGGTGATCCGGGAGTTTGAGGGGGTGGAGGACGTGGCTGTGGTGGGAGTACCCAATGACAGGTACGGTGAGGCGCCTGGCATGGGTCGCCCGCTCAACCCTCTCCTCGATGTAGAAACTGCAGGACTACGTGGCGAAGAAGGTGGCCCCATCAAGCAACTGACAGGGGGCGTGGAGCTGGTGGACGCTCTGCCCAAGAATGCCATGGGCAAAGTCCTCAAGAAACACTTGAGAAATGCCTACGTTAACCCTAAAGGCCAAGCTGTGATGTGATGGTGCTCACTTATCTTCTGACGCATAAAAGCATCATGTGATAAAGTGGTGGTATCTTATTCCAAAGTGTGTACATAACTGAAGTAATCTGTGAAGGTAGCTGGTGTATTTACGTGAGTTAAGGGGGTATATAGTGAGTTAAGGGGGTATATAATGGTGAAACAGTGTGAGGCACCGTGATTGTTATCTTTGAGGAGGCATGTATGTATGTAACATACAGACGGTACAGTATATATAAATTGTAACACGCATTCAGGATTCAGTACAAGCCTGTCCCTCACAAAAAAAAAGCTTATTCACCTCCAACCCCTTTCTCTAGTCAAGGATACTGGCTACGGGTCTACTGAGCCCATATCTTCATAAATAGAACCAATTGACAATTTTAAGTATTCTTTTTAAACCCCCAAATTAGTAAAGATTGACTACTCTTATTTTTCGAAGCATTTTGGCTGTACACCATATTCCAAGTCCAACTAAAAATGTAGTTAAACACGCAGATGAATTACCACCGTATTATTCACTTCTCATTTTAAACGTATTCGGCGACTACAGCTTAGTCCAGCTTACTAACGTGAGGTTCACAGAGCTGATTTATGGAGGACGGACACCCGGCAGCCTTAGGAGGACAGGGACGGTAACACAGAGATGCTGTACACGAACCAAGGTGTTGAAACTCGTCTTTTAGATCTCAGCTCCCCTCTTGCGTGTCTGAAGGAAGTCACCTGAAGGGCACTTCTCTACTGCCTCTGGGATGACACAATCCTCTGCCGGAACATAATAAGATCCTGACTAAGAAGATAGTGGCAACTTCTTAATAATAAAATGAAGCCAGGAAACCATACTGCTTCAGGAGCTTGAAATCACCAAAACAACTGTCATTTTGAAGTTGTTCGTAGACTGATAACTCCTTTTATTTTCATCACTTAACACAAGCGGACAAAAGTAACAAAATTCCACCAGTTTGTAATACAGAGTTTAAGTTCACTAGGTGGCGCCATACTAACAACTACACCTGCTAGTAGGCGTGTCACCAGATATCGAACCATAAGAATGAAATAAAAACAATGATGGTCCGGTGGTCTCTCGCCTTACTAAAATGTCAAATTGACTTCATTTATAAAGTTCTAAATTTACTTTGTTCCAAAATCCTACAAACACACACACACACACACACACCTTGACCACCGAAGGGTCAAGACGTACCTGGCGCTCCTCTCGGAGCAGCCAGGTCAACTGTTAAGTTGGCCCATACCAACTCCCTCCCCTGAACCCTCCTCCCCACCGGAGTATCAACAAGTTCACGCCAGAAGTTGCTATTTCATTTAGGAAAGGAATGGAACCAGTGTTAAACAGAGGTGAACAGTGGTGAACAGTGCTTAAGTCAGTGAGAACAACTCAACAGTAACAGTCGACCCAAGTTAACCTTCACACAGTGAGGTCCCAGGTACCCAGTGATAACGGCCCGTGAGACCCAACAACCAGCGATGTGTTAATCCGTCTACGATAGGAAGGCCTGGGACCACACCTCACTCATATAACACCGTCTGTGAGGGAATTACTACACCACGTGAGGCCCCGCATAACACCATCTGTGAGGAATTACTACACCACGTGAGGCCCCTCATACACCATCTGTGAGGGAATTATAACACCATCTGTGAGGAATTACTACACCACGTGAGGCCCCGCATAACACCATCTGTGAGGGAATTACTACACCACGTGAGGCCCCTCATAACACCATCTGTGAGGGAACTACTACACCACGTGAGGTCCCTCCTAACACCATCTGGGAGGGAGTTACTACACTACGTGTTTGCTGTTCAACACCTACAATAATCTGAATGTTCACTGTATGTTCCTTTACCTTTCTCTAATGAAGGCTTTTGTTAAACCACCAATGTATGTAATAAGTCATTTATGTCCAATGTATATTTTCAGCCTTCGGGCTGCAGAACTTTTTCAATAAACCGTTAATTATTATTATTATTATATATACATCCTTGACCACAGGAGGGTCAAGACCCATCGGGCGCCCATTCATGCTGCAGCAGCTACCCCGGCCAATGTTGGCCCATTAATCAAGTCCTTCTCCCCGACCCATCCTCACCACCGGGATATCAACATAATCCCAACAAAAGTGACAATTTCATGTCGTAGAGAAGTGGGATCAGTGTTAAACAGTGATGAACAGTGTTTAAGCCAGTGAATTCAGCACGAGACAGTACCAGTGAGAGCCGTGACCCACCAGTGAGGTCCACACCCAGAGATAAGTTACCCATGGGAACCGACCACCATCTGATCAGGCGGTGTTAATCAGTCCACCCTGGGAACAACTGTGGGTCGACTTTACACCTGACCATAAAATAACACAACACCACTTAGCAGAGAGTAAGGTACTGTAACACCACACCACCCGGTGTCTCCATGACCACGTGAGGTCCTCCATGTCAACACCTATGGACGAGTGACTGTACCACGTGGCCTCCGTGACCTCATACAGTAGGGCAAGAGACCAGCCCGGGCCATCAACTGTAAAATATAATTTGTATGTTCAATTCATGTTGCTTCTTCTTTTAGTAATGAAACGCTTTTGTTAAACAACCCACCTACCCCACATCTTTGTATGTAATAAATCATTTCTGTCCAATGTATATGTTCAGCCTTCGGGCTGCTGAACTTTTTCAATAAACTGTTATCATAAGAAATGCAAATGACTTTACTTGAAAATAAACAAAGGCATGTATGTATGTAACATACAGACGGTACAGTATATATAATTTGTAACACGCATTCAGGATCAGCTCGAGACTGGTCGGGCTAGTGGACGGGGACAGAGTGAGAGCAGCCTTGATGTTCAGTGACAAGGCTGCTGCGGGGAGTGTTAGTGCTGCTTCGTGTTCAGCAGCTGTGGTGAGTGTCAAGTGCTGCGTTTATCATTTATATTTACAACATAGTGTCAAGAACAACTCTTACAGCAGCAAATATATTATAAACAGCATTTCCTTTTATAAACCTCCGCTTAAATTCTTGCCGCTGGTAGAGTCCATAGCTATAGTATTTGGGTAAATTCTATGCTTCGAAATTATGAACTCTGTAAGGTGGCTACAGGGTTTGTTACCATTCAAGTGTCAGCGTAAACTTTAACGTTTTGTTTTCTCTAAGACAAATCGCACATTTTGGAAAGGTTTGGTTACATTAAGTTCATCTTTGGTTGGTTCTTGTTGTCTGAGAACTGTAAGGTCCTCTTCTTCTCTACAATAACATCGTACACCTGGCAGACGACCCACAATTAATATATTCAGCAGACGATCTTATTAAAACTGTGTTGTGCTTGCCTCGCCCCGCCTCGCTTCAAAATATACAACACAAGTAAATTGATAACACACTGATTCCCATGTTGTCACACACGCGCGCACACTCACTATACTGTATACATAGTCCATGTACATATACCCAGCAGGCAGGCAACCTTTGTTTCAGTAAAGTTCCTGCTGGATGGCAACACAGGACCTAGTTTTTACTGAGCATGCACAATATACTCGGTAAGTAAAGTCTCTTTCACGAGGGTCCGATGAATTTGGAACTGAACAATGCAGTTGTCTTGCTACGGTTGGTAGGCGTGATTATGAGACATTTCCTACCTATTATGGGATAAATCAGTTTATTTCATTCGAAATATAAAATTATTTATTTCCAGTATGACTAGTGAATGCCAGTATGCCTCGTGGGCCTTTATCAAAAACCTTCGTTCGTGGTGTCATTTTATTTTGCTCAAGAATTGTAGATTTTTTTTTAAACTGAGTACAGACCACTCCTGTGAGGGGGGGGGCGTGATGTTAGTGTGGCACTACTATACTGTATATATTACACAACATCTGTTACCGGAGACTCATTTTCAGATCTTGACTATGGCATTATGACAAAAGTATGATTTTTTCCTTAAGTTTCAGAACACATTTATGACATGGGTTGCGTGCACTCCACAGGGGGCAGGCAACCCAAGCATCCACTTAAGACAAGCTCCCGCGTATTTGTAGTCACTAAAAGAAAGCCAAGTCACGTGTGTATGAGTACATGAGCGAAATAATACAGACTAACACAGATATTTTGGATATTAACCGAATATTTTATAAGTGTGTCAATGATATAAATATTATGTCAGTATGTAATCAAATCTGTTCTAATATATCCAGTGTGCGGTAAAATAATCACATATAAATTTATTTCATGTACAGTCTATATTTTTCAGGTGACTTTCTGGGGATTAACTTTTTAGTAATATTTTCACTGAGGCTTTTACTGTAGGTTCAGTCAAGAATAAATTAATCATCATATACATTAGTCTATCGTCCTCTCCGGGTACAGTAACGTTAAATGCGCAAAATCAGTTTAAAAAAAAGGTAGAGGTTAAGCTTCGGACCATAATCCTTCTGGAGATGAAGCCTAGGTTTTTCCGATGGTTTTTGATGAGTTTTATTCGATTTAGATATTGATTTTCGTCGGGAATCACTCGGGTTTTTTTAGATAGCACTCTCCCCCCCCCCCTCCCCCACAGTCAAAACGAGTGATTTCAGACGAAAATCAATATCTAAATCGAATAAAACATCACAAACCATCGGAAAAACCTAGGCTTCATCTCCAGAATTATTTTGAGACTTAACCTAACCTAACCAAACAAACCTGACCTGACCTGACCTGACCTAACCTAACCAAACAAACCTGACCTAACTTAAGCCGTGGACGAAGAGCGACCCGTGTACAGGAGTAAGATGAAAAATAGCTTAAAATTTTTCAGGTAAACACACCCCATATCTCGGTTATTATTCATTTGCGACGGAAATGCCATAGAAGAAATGTCGTCGAATTTGACCTTAAAACACCCATCAAAATAATTGTAGCTAATTATGATCCGAAACTTAACTAATACCCACCAAAAATATAAACTCGCCATTGCTGGAAAAAAGAACCAATGAGAACAGACATAATGGGAGTAGATTTATTATGGGTTAGAATATATGATTATGAAAGGTAGACGGAATTGAAGGCTACCAATCAATTATTTGTTTGGTTTATTTTGTACCTGTAGAGAGCCCCCTGGGATTAGTTGAAGATGAAGTACCACGGGAATTTCGGAAGACGGCAGCGAGACAAGAAGGGACGAAGAAGAGTAGGAAGTCCTCGGATACTGAAGTGGGAAGGCGAGGTTCCTCTGCCCCCCGTCCCTAACACCAATTTTGCCTCCTTCGTCCTCAATGTGTTGGCTCAGCATGGTGACAAGGTGGCGCTAGTGAGTGTGTTTATTATTGTAGTTCCTTATTTTAACTGCTAGGTGGCGCTAGAGAGTGTGTTTATTATTGTAGTTCCTTATTTTAACTGCTAGGTGGCGCTAGTGAGTGTGTTTATAATTGTAGTTCCTTATTTTAACTGCTAGGTGGCGCTAGTGAAATGTTGTTGTTCCAGAGTGCAGGGTTATTGTTGTTGTTGTTGTTTTGTGTAGGTGATTGTCAATGACTTCACGTAGCCTTGTCTAAATCCCCGTCTATCCCTGAACTAAGTAGTGTTTATTTTTTTTATTAACACAGTTGAAACCATGAAATTACAATAATCATCTTCTTGTCTTCTTTCGTGCATATGCATTCCAGGTTCCTAAGTTGAGCTTACGCATGTTTATTCAGTGTCCAAAGCTCTGTTCTTCTCTGACAGTACTGGCCAGCTGTCAGTGGCACATTTTTTTTTATTATTATTATTTATCGGGCACTCCCCCACATCCTTGTGTAAGGTAAAGCGCAGCTTCCGCAAGCAAGGAAAGTAACGCAGTGGGACCTTTTGGTGTCGAAAATCCAAGAGGAATGCGCGAAAATTGTTTGTAGTGTCTGTATATAGTTGTTCAAGGGTAAGAACTGATATTCTGAGGATGGAAGCCCGGACCTTTTCTCAGCACACGAGTACTATACAGTATAAGGAAAGAGAAAAGGTTATCTATGACTTAAAGGGGCCAGAGGTCGCCCATACCTCACTCTAGTAAAGCAACAGCCAACCACACCTTTAACCCTAAATTCGTGATTAAGGGAAAACCTGAGTTCTGCTGTATGCTGAGAGAACATGAGAAAAATGTCATAAATATATATCATTAAAAAATAAGATATGTGCATGCAGAAATAAGAAGAAAAAAATCCTTTATATGCCTCTGTTTTGCCGTATGTGGGTCCCAGCGACTCGATGGGTGTATGGGGGGGGGGGAGGGTGGAGCTTAAGGATGTCAGGGGCGAGATTTTCACTAGTTATGATGAACCACCTTCCTCACTACAGCTAGCAAAATCTTCTTCACCTCCTGTACACATGGTAGCGGTACATGGGAGACGGCGACGAACACCGGTCTTCCAAGCTCTGTGACGCGGTACTGAGAGGGCTGTTGCCTTACTGTGAGACGAGGTTCACTGGGACACAGATACGCTTTATACTACACCTGGCGCGTAATTTTAAACGGTGGCGCAGAAATATTGTCCCATTTGATATTATATGTAACAGTCCAACACTTGATGTTAAAGTTGACAGATATTAACAAAATATTGGCTGAACTTTCACCAGTAAAGAATCATAAGAGATCTCCACTCCTCTGTTTATCTACTGTTATTGTTAGTCTATTTTTGCTCATGAAAATATGTCCTTGAAACTTATTGACGTGACTTTGGGAAGTACTTTAACTTTAGTTTTGTCCTTTAAAATAGTGGATAATTTGGTAAAAGTTCACAGTCAGCACCTTCTGCAGGTGGACGCGGCCACAAGTAAGTACCACACCTTCGGGGACGTGTGTCGGATGGTGCCGCGGGTGAGCTCAGGACTGTCGGCCGCCGGGGTGAGTCCTCAAGACGCTGTGCTTTTACTCACCTCCAACCACATTGACTATCCCTTGGCACTCCTGGCCACTGTCCTCACCGGCGCCGTCTGCGTCCCCGTCAGTCCTGCCCTTCAGCCAGGTGAGGTCAGATCAGGGAGTCTAGTTGCTTCTCTGCATCTACAGTAGAAAATGCAAATTTCATCTCAATTCCAGATTTACACCAAACACCAAGCTACACCAAATTAATTATCGACACTTCTCCCACACACCAGAGGAGTTGGCCCATGTAGTGGGAGTAAGCGGGTGTAGGTGGGTGGTGGTGCACGAGGCCCTAGTGGGAGTGGTAAAGGCAACTTTCAACCTCCTGCCACCTGGATCACTAAAAAAGATGTGGGTGTTGGGTGACCGCCCTGGCACGCCCTCGCTCACTGATCTTGTCAGGACTGACCTCAACGTAACCGCTGACCCTATGACGACTAACTTTACCTTGACCCCTGCAGAGGTAAGGCCTGCTGACCTATTTTATAGAATGTGAAGTAAAATATTGGTAAAACGAATGTATAATTCAGTGGTAGATGGTGGAAGGGAGAAGAGAACACCGAGAATAAGATAGTAGAATAGGAGGGTGACGTACATCCAGGAAGCAACAGTGTACGTGAGTGAGAAATGAGGGAAAAATGGCTGGTGATGGTGATGCTGGGCTGTGTTGTAATAGAAGTAAGCCAGGTGGGTAGTTGGGGCCTTGTTGTGGGAGTAGTGAGCCATAGCCCTACACATCGATTACAGGATGAATATTGAATGAATGAATGGCAGTGCATGAAGGGGGAAGTGTGTGTGTGTGTGTGTGTGTGTGTGTGTGTGTGTGTGTGTGTGTGTGTGTGTGTGTGTGTGTGTGTGTGTGTGTGTGTGTGTGTGTGTGTGTTCTTGATGCCGACCACCTTGTTTTATAGCGGAATTAGGTTTTGAAAAAGTAGGAGCAAAAAATCTCCGCCACCACCTGACCTTCTCTCCTTTACCTCCTGCAGGAAGTGACCTCTGACCCCCGACGGAAACCTGCAGTGATGCTCTTCTCCTCTGGCACCACAGGACTACCCAAGGGCGTCAAGCTATCCCACACCAACATCCTCACAGCCATATTCCAGGCAAAGTAGGTGTTGCCCCCAGTCCTTACTTGAGTGTGTGTACTCTACTGAAAGGACGTTGGGTCGATTTAGTCTGGTTATTGTTGTTATTATTGAATTAGAAGAGCTACAGCGGTCGAATTAGGATGATATTTAGGTTCAGTTCAAGTCAGAGTCGTGTACTGTACATTGCAAGCTATGGACAACTTATGTGACGTCATCTTGATTTCATTGCACAACCCCCTCACATGAAAGATGAAAATCAGTCATTTCAACGATGAGAATCAGTCACATCAACAATCAATGGTTCACAATGTCTCTTCCATCTCAGGTACATCCGCAGTATAAGCAGCACCCCAGTGTCTGCCGGTGAGGTGGACGTTACCCTACTAGTGCTCCCCGCCTACCACAGCTTCGGCCACACCATCCTCTTCAACGACCTTACTCTGGGCGGCTGTGTGGTGATGATGCCCAAGTTCACCCCAGAGAAGTACTTTGATGCCATCGAGACCTTCAAGGTGAAGGAGGTGGGGGGATGAGAGGGAAACATGAGGAGTTGGAAGAGGGGAGGCAGGCGATTGTGAGACAGAATTCGTGTGTGTGTGTGTGTGTGTGTGTGAGCGGGGAGGGGGTGATGAGAGTGATCAGGTTAGAGATAGAAAGGATACTGCACTAGCTCCTATAGTCCTGCCAGTGCTTCTCGTAAACATCACCAAGAGAACAGTTACGGCCTCTTATGTGTTCACGTACTCACTGTTAATATCAACTATAGTATCATCAAAGCAGCAGACCAACAGTATAATAAACATCGTCAATATCCTATACCTCAGAGTCTTAACCAAACATTTAAACAGCAGAATTATTGACGAATTCCTACAGTAAACATTGTCAGTCCTCATCTAACGCCTCACACTGCCTCACAGGTCACGTTCTCGCCGCTGGTGCCGCACATCGCTAAGTTCCTGATGGAAACACCTCTGATGGACAAGTATGACTTATCCTCCCTTCGTGCCTTCGCCATTGGGTCTGCGCCCCTCCACAACTCCACTCTCGTCGCCCTCAAGCAGAAGGTAGGAACCGAAGTTTACGAGACTAACATATTACTAAACTTCAGGGACCGAATTTACTAAAAAAAAAATTCGCTCACCGTCAGCTTTACTGATCCTTAGGTACGAAGATGTCGGAAATTTAGTTTAAAACATTTGAACATTGTTCCCTCACTCCCGTGTGTCCATAGATTCTAAGGATTAATCTATATGTATTAGCTCCTCCTTCTCTACTACTTACACATTTTAAGGACTGACTCTTTCCCCCTGAACCTCCAGAGCGGTAAGAACGCGACTCAGGGGTACGGGCTGACAGAGACCGCTGCTACCGTCACCGTCAACGGCGGGGCTGTGGGCTTCCAGTTTGACTCCGTCGGGAAGCTGATGCCCTATTTCGAAGGCAAGGTCTGCATCTGTCTGCCTGTGGGACTGTGTCTGACTGTATGTATGCTTGACTGCCACTATGATGTAGCGGTGCATTTTTTATCTTTATGCCTGATTATTTCTGGTTGAGTTGGAGCCTTTCTAGTTATGTTATTTTGTCTGTGTTTGTCCGATATAATTCTGTTCATGGCTATGCATCACGCTATGTACTTACAGGTACTGTATGTCTGAAGATAGATAGGTCCTCTAGTTTTAGGTCCAGATAAGTCTGTGGGCTTAAAAAGGCTTAACCTTTACGCAATAAAAACATATCTTAACATACCTTACCTCCTAACACTCCAGGTGGTGGATGTGGACACCGGGAAGCTCCTTGGAGAAGAGCAAGAGGGCGAGCTGTGTCTCCGGGGTCCCTCCGTCATGCTCGGCTACGCCAACGACCCGAAGTCGACGGCTGCAGCCATTGACGGGGACGGATGGTTCCACACGGGAGATATTGGCTACTTCGACGACCAAAATTTTATCTTCCTCACCGACCGCTTGAAGGACCTGATCAAAGTAAAGGGATTTCAGGTGAGTTTATGTAATAAGGGGTGTTGGGTGAATTTTGATGATAATCAAGGGATTTCAGGTGAATTTGGTGGCAGATAAGGATATTTTTGCTATGATTCCTACAGCATATTGCAATATGGCTTTTTTTTCTGACAGGTCTCCCCAGACGAATTAGAAAGAGTGATCCGGGAGTTTGAGGGGGTGGAGGACGTGGCTGTGGTGGGAGTACCCAATGACAGGTACGGGGAGGCGCCCCGGGCATGGGTCGTGCCCGCCCAGCAGCACCCTCACCTCGATGTTAAGAAACTGCAGGACTACGTGGCGAAGAAGGTGGCGCCCATCAAGCAACTGACAGGGGGCGTGGAGCTGGTGAACGCTCTGCCCAAGAATGCCATGGGCAAAGTCATCAAAAAACACTTGAGAAATGCCTACGTTAACCTCAAGGCCAAGCTGTGATGTGATGGTGCTAACTTATCTACACTTTGACGTAGATAAGTACACTTGTGGTGCAGCAATAACTCTACAGGTGTATGTATATCACTTCAGGTAATTCGGGTGGTATAATCGTTGCCACGTGGTGATGCTCGCAAATGCACCAATTTTCAAAAGATGTCAGACCATGTAATGTATATCGTTTAAGAATAACAAATGAGGATATTACTGCAGGAGCCGGACTTGTTTGGAGCACTTACTCTTCTTTGATTATTCAGTTAAGATTTTATTTATATATTCTACATTTATTTGTCGTCAAACTTAATAAAACTCATTATGATGTCCTCCCAGCACACGATTATTGATCTTAATTATGAAATCAACACCTGAATACATAGTAGCATCTCTTAAACAGGATCGACACCGAGATAGTGATAGCTACCCATCTGTTTATTGGAACCCTATAAGAAAATTAATAAAGTAATGTTAATATTATCTTCACAAACTCTAACACTATCGAGGTAGAAGTGAGTGTTACAGTTTAAACCGATAAACATATCAAACACCAGCTGAAGTAAGGTGTATACTCTGGTATAATAAGCTGTGGTATACTCGTACAATAATACAATTTGTTAAGAGTTACTGAGTATAATACCGTATATAAGGGACACCTCCATATAACGGATTCATCTCTCCATATAATCCGTTAAATGGAGGTATCTCATGTAACGGAGCTTCGATATAAAGGACTTCCATCTCTACAGTATATACACCCCTGTATAGTAGTTCGTTAGATGGAGGTTTCACATCTAATGTACCATCGATATAACGGACTTTTCTCTATATAGTCCGTTAAAAAGAGGTTTTACTGTAAATACATCACTGCGTCTTGGGAACTGAACATATCAGTTTTAAGGTTCCTGTATAAACATTGAGGGGCTGAGATTAACCTGTTAAAACCCTCAGGGACTCTTCGCCATATTCCAGAGGTTAAATGTAAGTGTCTTTATGGTTAAGAATATTGTGAGTTGAAAAGAAAAAGGTAAAGAAGTAGTTAATTATATAAAGCTACGTGAATACCTGTGTGTGTGTGTGTGTTGGTCTGAATTTTGGGGTTATGTCTGAATATCACAATTTTTGAAGTAATATTTAGTTCACCATGTACTTCTTAAAGACATGTTTGTTTAATTCTGTAGTAAGACAACAACAATAATAATAATAATAATAATGCGGGATCTTATACTACAATCTATAATGATTCTGATTTGGGCTCAAGCTGAACAATAAAGAAATTAACATTAAAATTTAAGAATAGTGTTTGTTCCCCTCAGATGTTTATTTTAAGTAAAAAGTGTGTCAATGCATACAGAAAAAGGCCTAGGTTTGGCCCAAAAATTAAATTTTGTTGAAAATGAGATTATAGGTACTCCAGACCATGCTGATTTCGAATATATGGTCCCCGATTCGATTGCGGGGTAATTAGTGACTTTACTGACCCTTGGATAATTTAATTACATATTTCAATGCTAATTACTCGCCAACTATGGGTTTCCAAAGTACGATTTTGGTGTTAATGTGTCATTCTGTAAGTACTTAATTAGTTTTATCCTCTTTGACACTGATCGACTACTTAGCCACTTGGGCTGTTATGCACTGTTGACAAGCACTGGGCATGTACTGCTCCTAGGAAGTAGCTGTACCTGCGCCAGTGTTGCTCAAGTCTGGGTCTTGAAAGAGCTCACACTCGGTGCTGTCACAACACTGGCATGTTGTTCTAAAAGTTCTCAACTCTCGCTCCGAAAAAGTTTGCCTTGAAAATTTTTTGAACTTGTAGCTTCTTCAACCTTAAGCTGTGACCTTTAGTGGGGCGGACATCCACCAGCTCCACATATGGACACTCGACTGAGTATTGTCCTCAGAGGGGTTTATAGACTTCTATTAGGTCACCCCTTGCTCTCCTATAGCATAAACTAGGCAGTTGCAAGCGTTCTAATCTTTCTGGGTAACTGAGGTGCCGTAGTGCAGACACAAATTTGGTGGCCCTCCATTAGACGTTTTCATTCAACTGACAGTTTGTAGCACGTCTCGGGGACCAGACAGGGTGACAGTACTCCAAGCGGGGAAGCGCCTCACTCTTGAAGAACGTTATAGCGTTACAAGGGACACACCGTTGTGGGTTCAGTCCCTAGCCAACCGCTTGAACTGCTACTAAGCTGATAAGTGGTAGAATTAATACTTTTCCGTCGGGCGGTCAATCAGTTATGAATGGTGCTTGTTATAATTCGTAATTGTATAAACATATGGGCATCTATTTCGCATTTCCATTTGGAAACTAGTGTACAGAAATAAGTGTGCTGTTAATAATAAAATCACTTCATATTGTTTGACTCCTGTTGTCCTGTTGCATGACAGTTCTTGCATTCGAAAACTGTCTGACAATGTTACCCTTCCCGCCACTTAGAGAAATACATTACATCGCTCAAGGCATTTGTTAATGCTTTCTGACCTTTATCACATACCTGAACCCTTTTCTAGATCCTGACACAAAGAAAATGCACAATACTACTAGTTTATGAGATTCTCACCATATTTCTTTAGTCTCTCATAAAAAATGATAAAAATATTCGGATTAAGAGAAAATAAACGAAAATATTTAAGGGCAGACTGCTTTAAATTCATCATTTACTAATATTCATGCACTGTTTTATGGGTATAGAAGATTAATAGCTAAGCAGGCATCGGCCCATTTGGAGTAGGGGGTGGAGCGAAGAGAGGCCGTTCCCTCCCTCGCGGGTCCAAAGGTAGGAAGGACAGCCTTATCTTGAGGATGGCTTATCAAAGACAGACATCAGTGGGCACTGTACTACTTTTGCTTTTATCCCCTTCGCCACTGATTGGCTAGTTCCAGAATGCATCTGTGCCTGCACCAGTGTTGGTCGAGTGTCTTGAATGAGCTCACAATTGGTGCCGTCACAACACTCTGGCAGATGTTCCAAGAGTTGATAATTTTCACCTTGAAAAACTTTGCTCTGACAATTTTCAGATCTTACGGCTTTTTTAACCTTGAGCTGTGATCCCCGGTGAGTCACAGTGTTACACAGCTGCACATATTTCTGAGTTATCTGTTGCACAGTTTAATAACCTAACAACATGTCGTTGATGAGGACCTCTAGCACAAATATAATCTTAATAAGAAACAACTAGGAAATGCACACTATTGTGTTGTCTGGGACGCGACTCCTCCAGGCCAGCACCACAAGACCTTGTGGGAGGAGGTTCATTAAGTCAACATATACAGTTGACGTCATGACAGGAGATTCTCACAGATGATGAGAGTTAATATACGGAATCATACTGACGACAGGTGACAAGTGCAATCATCCCTGCCCTCTGCCGCTGTTAGTTCAAGGTCATTATTTAATGGGCTTTATCCTGTGGCGACCAATCAACGTTATTTTGATACCGTTTCATGATAAGATAATCATAAATAAATTAATTAAACCGTCACATCACATCAACCGAGAGGTTGTACTTGGGAGATCAATACTACGAGAGGTTCTTGTGTAAGTCGTATAATATTTTAAAGTGATGCTCAGTAAATCATCATCACAAGGAATAACATTAACCACAGGCACTAAATGTTGTATTACTGTACTGTACTATAATTTGTTCTACGTGTCCAGCCTCCTCCCCTCGGTCCTACACCCACCACTAAACTGCTATAAACTCACTGGAAACATTCATACTGGTCTAGTCTAACTTCAAAAATATACTGAGTCTTATGATGAGGCGGATCTATCTTTACCGGGGCTTCATTATTTCCTCCAGCAATTAAAAAAATATCTATTCATATTATCGCCCACATTCACGTTATTAAACTCTTACCGACAAATACATCTGTTGACCTGGAATATTATCGACACACGCTGTTAAAAAATGGTTCCTGTTAGGTGAGGATAGAAGCCTTGGGTGACAGGAAGCTTACCGTGATAGTGTCGTGTCCATCATGTTACTATTATCATATAAACAATTCGCGTTGCCAAAAACAATACAATTATTATATATCATAAAAACCCTGTGTGGTATCATGCATAGGGGGTGAAGGGGTGAGGGGGAGGCGGTGAGGAGAAGGGGTGAGGAGGCGGTGAGGAGAGGGTGAGGAGGCGGTGAGGAGAAGGTGAGGCGGTGAGGGAGAGGGGGTGAGGGGGAGGCGGTGAGGGAGAGAGGGGGAGGGGGGGGTTAGTGATTCACCCCCTCCGCCCACTCACCTTGAAGGATTCCAGTGTACTCGGTTGGAATTAAGTCAGTCATTTGTCATCTTGGTTTATAATGAATGGGATTTGGCCAATGTCTATATGTGGGAAGAGACCTTGAGACACACACACATGTCTGTTACCAAGTGTTTTTAATTGTTTCTTATAATCTCTCTCTCTCTCTCTCTCTCTCTCTCTCTCTCTCTCTCTCTCACTATATATTCAAACCAACCTCTCATATTTTCTCCCTTACAAACAACCTCCCTAACCTCTTCTTTCTCCTTCCATATTTCCGTACAATAACGGTACACACCAACAGAATATTTGCCATAAACGGTACACTTTCACCAGTTCCTTTAGCCTCTTACCCCTACCTATACTCCTCCCTCCCCCCGCCCCACAAGCTCTTCCTTCCTCCCTCCCTCCCTCCCTCCCCCCTTCTTAGATTCCTCTTTCACTCTCACTTTCTCTCCTCCTTAACACGGATATACAGAGTCCATGACGCCTTTAGATATGGTGGTTTGTGACTTCATTGATTATAGTTTGTGTTCGTTAAATATAGCTTGTGTTCGTTTATTATAGTTTGTGTTCGTTAGCTTGTGTTCGTTAATAATGGTTTATATTCATGAGATATGGTTTGTGTCTTCGTTGATTTTAGGTTTTGTTCGTTAATTATAGTTTTTTGTTCGTTAATTATAGTTTGTATTCGTTTATTATAGTTTGTCTTCGTTAATTGTGATTTGTGTTCGTTAATTATAGCTTGTGTTTTTTTAACTTTGGTTTGTCTTCGTTAGATATGATTCACGTCTGTAAAGCTATTAAATATTACTCAAGTCTCAGTTATAATTATGGTCTTCACGTCCACAATTACTAAAAGTCTATTAATTTACGATGTATTTCAGCTAGAAGGAAATCTTTCTCAATTTACAAAAGTGAGACAATAAACTGACGTAGAGCCTAATAGTGAAAAAAAAATATGGCTTCTCTCCTCACCTCCTTCCGGTATAGTAGTGAAGGACATGTACAGTATATAAAAATCCGACAGACAGACAAAGCAGTTAAGACGATAAAAAAAAAATACTGCATCCATTCCCGTTCAAAAGACATTAATTTAGGTCACGCAGAATTGATCAGTCCTACGCTATTTCCAGAATGATTTGCAAAGCGCTATCTATCGGCTAAGAATCATTTTTACCTGTGAAAAAATAAGCATAAAATAAATAAAATCGTGTAGTGTAGTACGCATTTTATCCGTAACTCGACAAAAAAATCGATAAAAAGAAGTCACAGTTCTATATCCCAAGTCAGTTTAGCCCAGCACTGACGATATGAAAAGGATTGGTCTCTAAAATAATCACATTAAAAAATTAAAATCTACGCGTTCGTTGACCCTCCTCCCTTCGTAGAGAAAAGATTTATGTACAAAAATAAACGAACACACACAACTTGATACAGCAGTGGGGTCCATTTGGTTTTTTGTTAATACTTTGGACAATAAGGGTGCAGCTACTACTAACGAAATTCCTCAGTATTTTTTTTTTTTTTACGTTCGGTTATAGTACTGTACTTAAATTACAGCTCCACTCCACTCTTCTAAAATTAATACTACGCTGTCAGATCTAGTTTCCATCAATCATATTCCATCATCCCCGGATCATTTTTTTTAATACAAGAATTCACCTGATATTTCGTCTTCATTTTCCCTGTTTTATTGTTCCCACTTCGTCATGTTCGTTGATTGGAGTTTCTGCGTCATTCTCATTTTCTACTTTCTGCATCATCTTTTCTTATTGTCATTTTCATCCGATTTGCCTACTTCTTCGTTTCGCTTTAAGGAACTGTCTGAATAAAATATTACAACGAAGTGAGATAGTATTAGAATCCTTGTACTGGGTCATTGAATATAAACAATAAGAATTAGTGGAGGAGATTAATTTATTAAATACTCATATACTGTTTATATCAGGTACTCGGTATAATAACAAATGACAAAGACAATAAAAACAAAGTCTAATTAATATAAGTAAAGCAAGAGTAAAAAATATATTGTTTTTCT